TCGCCGCTGGTCCTGTCCAGTCCAGAGCAGTCTTCGCTGCTGGTCCTGTCCAGTCCAGAGCCGTCTTCGCCGCTGGTCCTGTCCAGTCCAGAGCCGTCTTCGCCGCTGGTCCTGTCCAGTCCAGAGCAGTCTTCGCTGCTGGTCCTGTCCAGCTCAAAGTCCTCTTCGCCACTGGTCCTGTCCAGTCCAGAGCCGTCTTCGCCGCTGGTCCTGTCCAGTCCAGAGCCGTCTTCGCCGCTGGTCCTGTCCAGTCCAGAGCAGTCTTCGCTGCTGGTCTTGTCCAGCCCAGAGCAGCCTGCACCACTGGTTCCGTCCAGCCCAGCCAAGCCTTCTCCGCTGGTTCTGTCCAGCCCAGAGCAGCCTGCACCACTGGTTCTGTCCAGCCCAGCCAGGCCTGCACCGCAGCTTCACGTCGCCTGCCCGCCTGCGCCCCACTGCAGCCCTGCCGAGCCTGAGCTTCCCTGCACGCCTCCCGAGCCTGAGCTTCCCTGCACGCCAGCCGAGCCTGAGCTTCCCTGCACGCCTGCCGAGCCTGAGCTTCCCTGCACGCCTGCCGAGCCTGAGCTTCCCTGCACGCCTGCCGAGCCGGAGCTTCCCTGCACGCCTGCCGAGCCTGAGCTTCCCTGCACGCCTGCCGAGCCTGAGCTTCCCTGCACGCCTGCCGAGCCTGAGCTTCCCTGCACGCCTGCCGAGCCGGAGCTTCCCTGCACGCCTGCCGAGCCTGAGCTTCCCTGCACGCCTGCCGAGCCGGAGCTTCCCTGCACGCCTGCCGAGCCTGAGCTTCCCTGCACGCCTGCCGAGCCTGAGCTTCCCTGCACGCCTGCCGAGCCTGAGCTTCCCTGCACGCCTGCCGAGCCTGAGCTTCCCTGCACACCTGCCGAGCCTGAGCTTCCCTGCACGCCTGCCGAGCCGGAGCTTCGCGTCACGCCGGCCGAGCCAGAGCCTTCTCCGCTGGTCCCGTCCAGCCCTTCTGAGCCTTCACCGCTGGTTCCATCCAGCATAGCCGGGCCTTCACCGCTAGCCCAGCCAGAGACTTTCCATGTCCCGTCTGCCCACCCTGAGACTGTCCACGTCCCAGAGCCTGTCCCAGAGCCTGTGATTCCCCCCAAGAAAGTTTTGGGGGGGGGATATAGGTCACCTGAATATGCGTCTCCGCCATGGCCGCCCGAAGGGGATTCTCCGCCATGGCCGCCCGAGGGTAAGTCTCCGCCCTGGCCTCCTGCACGTCCTGCTCCGCCCTGGAGGCTTCCTGCTCCGGGTAGGCCACTCCCTCGTCAGCCTCCAGGGCGCCCACCCCCCCACCCTTATTGATGTTACTCGGCGCGAGGACGCGCCTTGCAGGAGGGGGAGCTAATGTTACATGTATGTCCTGTGTTTCCCCCTGTTTAGTATATTTGGTTCAGTCCTGTTTCCAGTTTCCCGCTCCTCGTTTGTGTTCAGTTCATTCACCTGTTTCTAGTTAATTTGCCCCAGCTGTGTCTTGTTCCCATGATCCGTTCTCTGTGTATGTAAACCCTGTGTTCTCTCTCACTCCTTGTCGGTTCTCGTTAATGTGTAGCGTGCGTTGTGTTACTCCTGTGTTTTATGATTAAACCCTTGTTACCTGTTCATCCGCGTCTTCTCATCCTTCCTACCACCACGCACCCGTAACAACGTCATTGTGAAAAGGGCCTATTAAAGAGCCTTTCTCAGACTGTCCTGTTACACACAGCAGCGCTTCACGACACATGAGCGTAATGTGAAGGACAGGGACGTGTTGGTGTTCAATCGCTCCTCTTCCTCTCGTTCGAACGCTCACTGTTGCGTAACCTCGGCAGTCATGTGTTCTAGTGTGAATCGGTCGAGTGTTGAAGTCGTGCTGTTAAACGACTTTAAGATTATTAGAGGTCAATTCTATTCACATTTACTTGTATAGCGCTTTTCACAATACACATCGTTTCAAAGAAAATGCACAAGTCCACATTACAACAGTGATCTGTTATCAGAGGCGACTGTCATTTCAGAAATGCACATACAAATCACAGTTAGCTCAAAAAGTACTAATTTAAACATTGCAATGATGTAAGGAAGAAACACTGAGCTCATTAAAGTAATGAATACTTGTTTGTTAACAAATGATTTTGACATTAATCAATGCTACGTTTTCTCTCTGTTGTTGTGGAGGAATGAACTGATGACAAACACCGTCTGATCGCTATAATGTGCCACAGATGTGTAATATAGTGTTCATATGCATTAGTAGATGAGCTCCACATGCTTCATGTACGCTTTATATATATATATATATACATGTTTGTGTCCGTGAACATGCTGGTTATTCCAGGTCAGATGCGCTGTGCAATTCTCTGGTTGTTTTAATTTACAGTCAAATCCAAATACAGGTGAAACTCGAAAAATTATAATATCGTGCAAAAGTTCATTTATTTCAGTAATTCAACTTAAAAGATGAAACTAATATATTATATAGACTCATTGCATGCAAAGTGAGATATTTCAAGCCTTTATTTGTTATAATTTTGATGATTATGGCTTACAGCTTTATTAATTAATTATTAATTCAATGAATCGTAGCTCTTGGGATGTTGTGAGATCATTTGTGTCATTTACATATTCTGCTATATGCTGATAAACCTGTCGCACACACTCTCCTCCAGTGCTTCTGTCTCTGATTGATAGTTTAGACCGTTTTATAAAGTAAAAGTCTTTTATTATAATTGTACAAACGTCCTCCTTCAGCTCGAGCTTCACGTGTCTTTCTGTGTCAAATCTGATATTATCAAGTAAACATAAGAATAACTTTGATATTGTTAGTAATATTTCAGCTGGACTGAAGCAGGGTTACTTCATTATCATCATCATTTATTATAAAAATCATCATGAGTATCAAATATGATCATCCGGCTTTTGAGGAAGGTTTATTAGTTCATCTCTCAATAATCACTGTATTGCATTGTGTTATATCCTTTAAAAATAAAGCTTTGATCATAAAACTAAGCATTTAAATATCATCTTTCTACAACATATTTTTGGCAGATATTGATATTTATAAGCCTTTTATGTAAGTATCATTGATTTACATTACAAGCCTCAGAATTTCATCTTTTTGTCCATATAAATATGCATATTTTTGCTCAGTTTGAATCTTTGAATAAATCTGAGCTGTTTTTCCTCCATATTCTCACTATATCATATAATATGAGCCGTAATATCCTGATGTATCAAATATGACAAACTATTTTTACTATTCATTGAATCCTTTCAGTTGTGAATGAGTGCAAATGCCGGATATTTTTAATGTTTTTATCCACAAATGATATACCTGAGGCTGTGCCGGACTGGAGTGTGTAATTATTCAGTCGTTTGTCCTGTTTTAACAGCAGAACATCATATTTCGATGTCTGTCTGATGGAAATGTTTGATTTATCAGTTATCTTTATTAAACCACACATCAGTTAACTTTTAACTTTTCATTTCAGATCATCCAACCATTTATTAGATTTTACTCATCATATTACGATTGATTTCTTTAGGAATGTATTACGTAAACAACAACAGTTACATAATTAATTTGGGATAATAACAATAATTACAAAATCAAAAGGATTTGTAATGAAGGTCTGTTGTGTTTGATGTTATGTTCTTCATTTGAATGAATGAGAAATACAGCATGTCCTGCTTTGTTTTATGAGGTTAATAATCTGCGTATTGATGTGTCGATATCTTGTGCTCGTCTGATCTCAGATTTAGTTTAGATGCTTTTTCTAAGTTTTCATAACAGCCCGTTTCATAAGAGGATCAAGCCTGCGAATGTTCAGGCCGCCAGTCAGAGGATTTGATGGTGTGTGTGTGTGTGTGTGTGTGCGCGTGCGTGCGTTTATAAATCCCTCGCCTGGTTTGTGGAGATGAATATTTACAAGTCTTAGTATTTCTCCCACTCAGTCTCGATAAGCAATTCCAAACCTCGTCTCTTTCTCTCTTGAAAATAACTGTAATTTGTCATTGCTGGTTTTTCCAGGTGCAGGTCAAAGGTCAGGAGATATTCAGGTCTCAGCGCAGACATCAATAGATGTCCTCTGATGAAATATTGGAATATGATTCACTTTAAAATAAGGGTTGAAACGTTAGATCCTTCTTTAATCTGAATATTGCTGGATATAAACCCCAAAGATCTGCGGGTTATGATGAAGCTGATGTGAATATAATATTAAGTTATTGTTTCAGTCTCGGCTCAGTTTAGTGTGTCGTTGTCTAATGATGTTTGCGTGTGGCAGGAAAATATCTGGTTTTTGCTTAATGATGTAAAATGATTAATGATTGTCTTATTAAGATGTTTGTGAGAGGAAAAAGAGAATATTAAAGGAATCAGACGGACAGGGGTGTGTATTGTTGTATTTCAGTTGTGCCGCTACAAATCACAACATGTAAATAGGAAAATGTTTGTGTTATTTTGTCACTTATTGGGATTAGTATGCTAGCTGGAGCCATTTACATCCAGTCTTTGTGCTAAGCTAGGCTAGCGGTGGGTGCGTCAGATAGCGTTACAGCACGCACGGAGATGACAAAGGTATGTGTGGACTTATCAAACTCTGGGGGATACAGTCAATAAGCTAAAGTCCCAAAAAGTCGGAGTGTTCCTTTAAGCACGACTGCATTTCTTTATATTTGAGTCCAAGTTCAAACACTATGAAACGCTTGTTAACGCACGAGCTCTGAAACACTGCCAGCGGAGATTACACAGCGGCGTCCACAACAGGGTTTGCGAGGGAACGCTAAAGTTTCTCGAGGGAACACAAGAGATTTGAAAAAAAAATGTTTTCTCCCATCCCAAATTTTTACCACCACAATGTCTCCGTACTAAACAATGATTGTGTGGAAAGTGCAAATTTTTTTCGCTCTTCTCCTGCTGGTCATGAGTCTGTCGTCATGGTAACGCTCCTGCCGGAAACTGATGCTCTCTCTCTCTCTCTCTCTCTCTCTCTCTCTCTCTCTCTCTCCCTCAGGATCTGAAGAAGGTGCTGTCGTTCCCTCCGTATCCGGGAGAGTTCCTGCATCCGGTGGTTTACGCCTGTACGGCTGTCATGCTCCTCTGTCTGTTTGCCTCCATCATCACCTACATAGTGCACCACAGGTAGGGCATTAAAGAGCCCCTATTATGATATTAAAGGTTCCTAATGTTGTTTTGGCGTCTCCTACAACAGGTTCACACGCATCTAATGTCAAAAACACTTTATTTCCTCATAATCTCCACGGCAGCGTCAGCTCTTTTCTCTCAGAGTCTGAAACGCTTCGTTTGTAGATTCAGTCTCTCTAAGCTCCGCCTCTCTGAGAGCTGCTCTGCTCTGATTGGTCAGACGGCCCAGTCTGCTGTGATTGGTCAGAAACCAAAATGCTCATTTTCATATAATCGCTGAATTTCAGCTCTTCCTCAGCAATTGATACACAGTAATACGAACAGTAAAGATTTTGCAATAATTATCTGCTTTACAGAGCACATATCCTGCTTTTTTCTCCATGTTCATCTTTCTTCAGTGTGTAATGCTGCTGTTTGAGCATGAAAAGGGAGTAATTCTCTATATCAGTGTCAGTGTTTCTGAACTCCCTGAAACGCCTTCATTAGCCATGTTTCCATCCACGTGTCAATCGAATTATCTGAAGTTCGGTAAAAAACCTCATGCGAATAAAGCTGGCGAAAGTGTGTTTCCATCAAACGGCTTTAAAGCGGATAAAAACCTGTGCGTAATGACGTCACATGCTGTTTTGCGATCAAATTGGTATATCGAATTGATTTGAGACATGTTAAGGTGTTTCCATTCATTTTCTCACCAAATTGCACAACATTCAAGCCAACATTTGCCAACAAAGTTTTGCTAGGCAAAATCGATCGCGCCATAATAACGTTTCCATCCGCGTTTATCGCATAAGCCGTATATCGATCAAGATAAAATCCGATGAGACCGATCGTATTTCATTTGAGTCGATATTCATGAAATTCAATCGAATTTTACTGTTTCCATAAGGCATTTTTCATTCGACATCACTTTATTCGGATAAAAACGTGTGGATGGAAACATAGCTATAGTCTTGAGTTTCTTCCGGGAACGAACACATCACAATATTCCTCATTTAAATAATTCATACGCAGAATAAAGGGGCGGGGCATGGTTGAGTTAGTTAGTAGTGTGTTGAAACCATAGGCTGTAAAGAAAATATGTGCGTAGTGTCCGTGACGTCACCCGTAGTGTTTCTGAAGAGCGTTTGTGAAGCCCAAAGTGGGCGGAGCCGGCCGTCGCCATCTTGTTAGCGCGTCACTCCCGGATAAACGAACATGTGCAGCGAGGCGGATTAGCTGAGGTGACGTGACGCTAACAGATAGCAGACAAACGGCTAGTAGTGACATCAGCGGCAATCCACCTGTCAGTCAAATGGCCACGCCCTTAATTATGCGGAACTTTAAGGCTTAGTATAATTTAAACGGATTAGTTATAAAAAAAACTCACCCCCCTCATGTCGTCATGAAGGGCAAAATTTGCTATATAGACCAAACCACTTTTTGCACCGGGCTGTAAACATGTTTTTTTCTGCTGTAAATTTGGGCACTTTAGCATGCGGGTCTATGGGATTGAGTCTCTTCTGCAGCCGGCCTCTAGTGGCCAGTGGAGGAACTGCAGTTTAACTCACTTCAGTGTCGGATTCAAGAGAGAGAGAGCGGAAGATCGCCGCTTGGTTGAAACTGGTGGTTATGGAAAGGGGCGGGACATTTCCCAAACACGCTCGAAGCGCTCGACCAATCACAACACACTGCTCCAGCCGACCAATCAGAGCACAGTGTGCTTTTCAGAAGGAGGGGCTTCATAGAGACAGGTTGTAAACGGAGCATTACTGACAGACTGGGAAGAGAGGAGCCGCAACAATGGAGAATATGAGGAGAATAATCAACATTCAAGCAGGAAAACCTGTTCTAGTAGAAGCAAGACTTTGTAAAAGGGCATAATAGATCGTCTTTCAGTTTGTTGTGAATGTGCTGGTGAATAAGGCTGTGACTCACACACTCACACACACACACACACACACACACACGAATAGTTCAGCTTTATTGATCTTCCATCATGAAGACACTCATGAGTCAGAAGTGGACATCTGTTAGATTTCACACACACACACTCTTCTGATCCACAGCTTTCATCTCAGTTAGACGTAGGGGTGGGACGATACAGGTACCTCACGATTCAATTCTGTGGCGATATGTGGTCCACGATATGATAATATCACGATTCGCAATATCTACGATATTCAATATATTGGAAGAAATTTCATCAACGATATATCACGATATATGTGACTGAAAAGAAAGATTAACAATGCATGTGTACATATTGAGAATTAATATACCCTAAAACTTCCCGGGTTTTTATTTTCCCAATCGTCGAACTGCACCGGCTTGTATTCGAGACAGGCGTCTATATGAGACAGGCCTTTATAATTTAGTGTTGAGATGTTGCCACGTGAAACTGCGGTCTTCCGACCTTTTACTATCGTGTCAATTGATTTTGATTAATATGCGCGAGGGAGAGAGCAAGACAGCGCTCGTGTTGTTTGAAGACGTGAGAGTGCGCGCGCGCGGCCGTTGCGCTCTCTCTGCTCGTAAAACCCGAAGTGTCTCCACACTTTAGAGTGGAAACTAGCGGGTGGGTCTTTGATTCGTTTTTTATTGTTTTCCGCCATTCTTCTCGCTTCTCTCTGTTGTTGTTAGTTAACTTGTGTTCTTCACTGGCCGCTGTTTGCGCCACTTTACCCCTATTTACTCGAACAGCGCCCCCCGCCAACAGAATGGTAGATATTGGGTAGTGACAGTGACACTGACAACGGGTAAATTAATCATTTTGTGTTGTAATAAAATATCGATATTGGGCGTTAGTGTATCGATTATTTATTGCGACAGAGAGCACAACGATATATTGCAATATCGATTTTTTTTCCCACCCCTAGTTAGACGTTTGTTTTCTTCGGACTGTGAGTCAGGCGTCTCTCATCTGTGTGTGTGTGTGTGTGTGTGTGTGTGTGTGTGTGTGTGTGTGTGTGTGTGTGTGTGTGTGTGTGTGTGTGTGTGTGTGTGTGAGAGAGCTGTAGATGTAGATTCCTTCATTTACAAGCCAGACTCTTGAGATGAAATCAGTCCATCATCAGGGCTTCGGGGAAATCACACTCCAGCCACAGAATCGTGTCATCTTTTCTTCGGCTATCCGCAAATGAATCTTTATTGAGTTTTCTAGTAAACCTCTGGGGCTAATGTGTCTCTTTAAGAGATTTAATCATGTTGTGGGCTGAAGTTCCCCACACACATCTATGAAGTCATCTCGACTGTGTTAAACTACATTGCATGTGAATGAGATGCTGGTATTTGAGCTGAAATGAAGAATGTAGAAATGGTGTTATGAGTTTCTGCATATGCTTGAATCAGTTTGCCTGATTTCATGATCTTTTTTGTCTTTGAAGTATGAAATTATGAAACATTTACACTAGCGTTTTAAAAGTTTGGGGTGAGTACGATTTTAATACTTTCATTCCGCAGGGAAACATTAACTTGATAAAAAGGGACAGTGAACGCATTTATAATGTTACAAAAGATTCTGTTTCAAATAAATGCTTTTTTTTTTTTTACTTTCTATCATCAAAGAATCCTGAAAAATAAAATGTATTACGATTTCCACAAAAACATGAACGGCGTTCAACATTGAATCCTGAAATAAAAATGTAAATAACTGTTTCCAACACTGATAATAATCATAAATGTTTCCTGATCATCAGATCCTCATATTAGAGTGATTTCTGAAGGATCATGTGACACTGAAGACTGGAGTAATGATGCTGAAAATACAGCTTTGATCACAGGAATAAATTACACTTTACTATATATTCACATAGAGAACTATGGAAGCTTGTTTCCGCCACAGAATGAAAAATAAAAAAGGTAATTGCGACTTTTTATCTCACAATTGCGAGATATAAAGTCAGAATTGTGAGATAAAAAGTCAGAATTGCGTGATATAAAGTCAGAATTGCGTGATATAAAGTCGCAATTGTGTGATATAAAGTCAGAATTGCGTGAAATAAAGTCAGAATTGCGTGATATAAAGTCAGAATTGTGAGATAAAAAGTCAGAATTGCGTGATATAAAGTCAGAATTGTGAGATAAAAAGTCAGAATTGCGTGATATAAAGTCAGAATTGCGTGATATAAAGTCAGAATTGCGTGATATAAAGTCAGAATTGCGTGATATAAAGTCAGAATTGCGTGATATAAAGTCAGAATTGCGTGATATAAAGTCAGAATTGCGTGATATAAAGTCAGAATTGTGAGATAAAAAGTCAGAATTGCGTGATATAAAGTCAGAATTGTGAGATAAAAAGTCAGAATTGCGTGATATAAAGTCAGAATTGCGTGATATAAAGTCAGAATTGTGAGATAAAAAGTCAGAATTGCGTGATATAAAGTCAGAATTGTGAGATAAAAAGTCAGAATTGTGTGATATAAAGTCAGAATTGCGTGATATAAAGTCAGAATTGCGTGATATAAAGTCAGAATTGCGTGATATAAAGTCAGAATTGCGTGATATAAAGTCAGAATTGTGTGATATAAAGTCAGAATTGCGTGATATAAAGTCAGAATTGCGTGATATAAAGTCAGAATTGTGTGATATAAAGTCAGAATTGCGTGATATAAAGTCAGAATTGTGTGATATAAAGTCAGAATTGCGTGATATAAAGTCAGAATTGCGTGATATAAAGTCAGAATTGTGTGATATAAAGTCAGAATTGCTTGAAATAAAGTCAGAATTGCGTGATATAAAGTCAGAATTGCGTGATATAAAGTCAGAATTGCGTGATATAAAGTCAGAATTGCGTGATATAAAGTCAGAATTGCGTGATATAAAGTCAGAATTGTGTGATATAAAGTCAGAATTGCGTGATATAAAGTCAGAATTGCGTGATATAAAGTCAGAATTGTGTGATATAAAGTCAGAATTGCGTGATATAAAGTCAGAATTGTGTGATATAAAGTCAGAATTGCGTGATATAAAGTCAGAATTGCGTGATATAAAGTCAGAATTGTGTGATATAAAGTCAGAAT